GTTTTTTTTTTTTTTTTTTTTTTGTTCTCAATATGGTCACTAAGTTTATTCCATTAGGCTTTTTTCTAATAGAGTGTTCAAATTGGAAGACCCCTGTGTTGACTTTCAAAAGACACCCAAAACTTCATCTTCATGCTTCATATTGAAAAATAAAATGAAGACAAAGAGGGCATACCTAAAGAGAAGACGTGCAGGTCCAACAACCCAACCCTGCCTGGTGCGGGCATTCACTCTGTTAAAAATTAGCCATTCTGGCAGGACAGGAATACCCTGATCCATGTTGAACACTAACTGCGAATTCACAATTTTAACAAACAAAATTGTCAAGAAATTATTAACATGTGAAATTAACAAAAAGATAAATGTAACGGTAAACAACTAACCATTGAAGAACTAGGGTCACCCGAACTAGTATATACAGTCTCAAGTTTAGCAAGTAGCATATCATCGTGATTATTTCCACTGCAGTAAAATTCAAAACGAATGCATTAGAAGGTATTGCATTTCCTGTATATGAACCACAGTAATCAATAATGCTACCTTGCTGTAAGTGGGCTGCCATAGAAATCCCTTATAATGGGATCTCCCTTATCATCACGAGCCCCAGCACGCTGGAATAAATTTTAATCAATCAAAAAATGAGTTACTTCAATTTACGCAGTGAATAGTAAATAAGAGGCAGTTGAATTTGGGTGACATTTCGCCAAATCAGCAATTAGTTAAAATTTTGTTCGAATAGCCAGAAAATTATGCAAGAAACGAAAATATTCTTCCTTGGCATGGTAGGTTGAAAGGTTGAAACGAAAAGTAAATCGACGGAAAAAGAACGGTGAACATTTTCCAGAAAAAACTGAGTTTTACACAACACACAGGATGCAAAAAAATTTATCCAGTAAAAACGAGTTTCCAGAGACTGTCCATAACCAAATGCAGGTAAGCATAAAATAACTAATCTAAATGCAGTTTCTTAGTTCTTTATCCAGTTGCACAAACGACTTAGGTCCAACTGAAGATATTGAGGCAATTTGTGTTTAAAAAATGAAGTTTTCAAGGATGTGAATACAGAACTGTGGAGCTATGATTTTTGAAATCATTGTTCTAAGTCGAAACTTGTACAGAAAATGTAGGAGTTTAAAAAATGATTTGAAGTGGTGAAAGATGATGAAATCATATCAGTGTGTTATCTACAGGAGATGAGGAATCTGTTGGAAACTTATTCAACAAAACAATACAGAAAAGACTTGTTAAGCTATTATGGAACTTCTCTATTAAGCTGAAAAGGATTTTTCCAAGTAAAAATGATCAAACTACAGTCCCCAGGTGCGGGGAAGGGGGGGTGGGGGTTGTCAAAGGCAAAGACTAACGCATACAAAGCCATGAACCAATGAATTGTACCTGAAAAATAAGTCCAGCTGTTCCATTCCACTTTGGCCTGAATGGCCGGCTGTATTCAATTCCAGCCGTAATACGTCCTATATTCAGACTATTATTGTTCGGCTGGTTTCCATGAACAAGTGCTCCCGGGGTTCTTGAGTTCTTATTAAAATAAAAAAGAATCGGAATTAGCTTATATGAAGTGACAGAATGTATAAATTATACATAGCAATCTTAACTACCTGAATTGTGATGGCTCTTGATGTCCTCTTATCATCTCCTTCAATCCACGGATCAGTGTAGTTTATCCTGAATATTGAATCAATCTGTCCCCTCTCCAATGAAAGATTAAGCTTTTGGTTCCTCCCAAACAGATTTTTATGATATATAGCAATGCTGCAATAAAAAATTAACAATGACTTCCTTGATTTTGGGAAGGATATGTACCTAAAGAACAAATCATGCATTGACTAGGAAAATAAGAAGGAAAATAACTATAAAGGACAAGCAACATGCACAAAAGCATCTGCACCACACAGCTTCATCACAATCATAGGCAATCTTTTCACGCTAAGAAGCACCAACACTTCAATGACATCATTTCTCTTGGACATGTTTTATCTCCATTTCAAATATGGATTTAATTTTTAGACACAGTTCTTGACCTTTTCCAAACACTTCACGTGTGAATAAATTCAATACTATGATCTCAATATAAAGGCAATACATGATGAATCTTTTTTTCCAAGGACAAAAGTTGAGAGGCACTTCTCACAATTTTAAATGATATACATAGTCTGCATGATTTGCATATTAGGTCGTTTTCAAGTATTCCCATTTCATAACAAAGTGTCAAGTGCGTGATAAATTGCACATAATGCATGACCTGATAACATATGCATGCAAGTAGAAACTTTTATTCATGAATAACCATGATAGTGCTTGAATTCAATTCTCAAGGTCAAAAAGATTGAGAAACCATTCGTGCAAACACAAATGCGTGCTTTTATTTATTAGTATGTTATCAGTGCTTTCTATCCTACTTTTCAATATAAGCAATGTCAGGGCG